CAGAAGGATACTACATTTCAGATGTAGTATTAAGTTAAGACGTGTCTTAACAGATAGATTTTCACTGGGCAATATGAGGGCAGGAAGTTCATTCTAAGCAGTGGCTAAAATAGGAGATATAGCTCATTATAGTCCCATCTACTCAGAAGGCTGAGGCGGGAGGATTGCTTGAGGTCAGGAGTACAACGGGGCAGTGAACCATGATGGCACCACTGCACTCCAGCCTGGGCAACAGAGTAAAACTCTGACTCAAAAGAAAATAAAAAAGGAAAGAAAAAAAAAAAAAGGATAGGTTTAGAGACCAGGGAACAGTCCAGTTTAGCCATATCAAGGTATAGAAGAGTCTTGTTAGGATGGAGAGCTGTCACTGCATTGCAGGAGCCTTGAAAATCACGCTAAGGAATTTGTATTTTTGATTCTATAAGTAATGGGAAGGCATTAAGAGATTTTGTGCAGGAGAATTCTATGACTCAAGTTAGGTTTCAGTAAATTTAGTTAGTTTTGAGTGTGGAATGGCAGTTAGTGCAAATAGGATGTAACCATCATGACCTAGAAGAGATGCTGAGAACATAACCTTGGTGGTGGAAATGGAATTTGAAGGGAGAGACAGACATAAAATACAGAAGAGAACCAGTAAGTCTTGGTGACTGATTTGTCATGATGAGAATACCATAGAGAAGGAGATGCTTTTGCTTTTTTTAACAACATGCCTCAAAAAATGTGCACAATAATTGTTTTTAGAAGATAGATCATGACTTTTTTTGACATGATGACTTTAAGGTGCTGGTAAGACTTTTTTATGAGTCTGACCAGCAGAAGAGAAACGGGGTAGACTATATACTCAAGAGATACTCCCCATCGAAATAAGAATCAAAGCCACACTTTGATTACGGAGAGAGTATAGATGGAGAATAAAACACAACCATGTGAAAGGCTGCACAAAATGGGCAAAAAGAGGAAATAAGGGTCACAAAAGGAGATCTAAGAGAAATCAGAGGCAGTAAAATAATTCAGTGCCATAGAAAGCAAGGGAGGAAAGCTTCAATTCGACATTCATTGAATATCTGTTGTTGAGCAAATATTGCAAGTCAGACTTCATGCTCAATACTGGGGATAAAGTGGTGGACAGGACAGAATCCCTCTGCTCTCACAGAGTTCACAGTCTTCCAAGAAACGTTGGTAAACAGCATGAAACATCCCAGTGAGTTCAGGAGGATATGAATTGAGAAAAGGCTCTTAGGGCCTTTCACCAAAAGAATACTTTTGGAAAGCAAATGGGTAATTCAATGCCCAAGGGTGAATTAACTTATAATAATAGATGCAGTTACATAATTTTAAAAGATTTTTCAGACTTGCAAAGGTCCCTTTAACAAATAAAACACTCAACTCCCCACAACCCCTTCCCCACCTCACACGTTAATCTACTTGAAATAATCCCTAAAAAGTGAAGCTATTAAGTATAAAAACACATTCTGCTATGTATTATTGAAAAGTAATATTATTCACATGTTCTGAAAAAAGTGAGAACATGAAAAATAAATAAAAGGACAAAAAATAGTAAGAAGGGCTTAATAATTTAAGCCCAGAAATATATCTTCAAAACAACCACTATCTGGTCTACATTTCTGCAGACATCTTGCACACATATTTTATATTGCATGGCTCATTAATTTACAAACCATCCATAGCTCTATGTTACGAGATGGCATAAGCTTCAGGCCAGAAAATTATGCACAGGGGTCCAGGGGAGAAAGGGTAGCTGAATTTCGGCACTTTATTCTATCATGTTTAGTACACCCCTTACATTATTATGACATAAAGAAAATAAAATAATGGTTGTATGATGAAAAGCTTTTCATGGGTTCGGAATAAATTGATTTTTCAATATTACCCTTCTGGAATTACTAATTTGAGTTTGCCTTATTTTTAATAAACACAAAACTTAAGCCAAAGTCATGATACATCCATCAAATGACAATTCAAAATTGAAGAGATTTTTTTATTCTACTATTGAAACATATATTTTCCGACTCACTTTTAGTTGTAGATTACATCACATAACATCTGCCATCCCTGAGTTAGATGGCACAAATTAAGGACACCAATGAATAATTTTATAGGTTTTTTTTTTTTTTTTCCCTCTGACCTTATTTCTGATTCTTTCAAACACGGAGCTGAATTATCATTTCCCTCTGTCTCTCCACTGTTAGGATCACGTATGATTTTATAGCAGGAGTGCAAAATAATGGGATTAGACAATGAAATGAAAAATGTATTTTGGTCAGGCTTTGGGTTTAACATGGAAGCTGGCAGAGCAGAAGTAAGCACTTTAATTTGCAAGAAACCTACTCTGCTTTTAAGTACTTACCTAAAACTCACCTGTGTTCTGTCCTCTCTGGCATTAACAGTGTCAATTACAGTGATTTACAGGTGGTGCTGATCAGTTAGCATATTAAGTGCTTTTACTTGTTAAGAAGGGAGCACAGACTGAACTCTTTAAACTCAATTATTATAAAGTTTCAGCAATGCAACTCAACTCTATTCTGTCATTTCCAACATTTTCCTTCTACTTTGCATTCATGTAGTTTCATCTGTTGCCTTTCAGCAAACCATTTTTCACAGTGTTCTATATCTCTAAGTTAGGTCATAAAAAATACACACACACACACATACACACACACACTTCTCTAATTCCTGATTTCTCTATCATCTTCATACATTCCTCTCAGTTGGATCTTCCAGTTAAATTTTTCTTAGATTCTGGCTAAATCATCTTATGAACCTCCACCCCAGAGTTATATATTCAAGGAAAAACTCTATCATAGTACAAGATCGTTTGGAAGCTATATAAATAGCCTGCTTATTGAAAAGAGAACAGGAGATCAGGGGCTATTATATTAAAACAAAAATGGAGGGTAGAATTTAAGTCTTTAAAAATCATCCTTTCTCATCCCAGGATTAGTAAAGACCACCCTATATCTGATCACAAGGAGGCAAAGTACTTATGCATATGTTTGGTGAAAATAATATGACTACGTATTTGGCGATCATTCTCTAATATTAACTTTGAAGCAATATCAACAAAAATAAAAAAGATAATCCAAATTATTTTTATTATTCCCATCATGTGACAACTAATTAAAAATTTATGAATACAATTCAAGAAACAGGTGTCAAATCAGTTCTCAGCCAGAAAACTCATCACTTCGATCTCACCTTAGCCAAGGTATAAATCAACATATTTCTGTTCTCCAAATAAGCAGTGAACGCATGCTGATTCGGGAGATAGCACTAAAAGGTACGCTTTTTTAAAATTATGTTAAATGTATCGTACTCCCCAGGTGTGACTTCATCTTCATTTCTCATTTGTAGTGATTATAGCCACCTAAGTCCCTGTGAATAGACTGCACATGCTGATTCAATCCCCATCCGGTTGATCAAGAAGTGGTGATCACGGAGGAGCCAAGCAATGTAAGTCGTCCAGTTCCCGAGACGACATTCCTGTAGTCTGTCCAGCCTTGAGTTCCCTGGGCTGCCATGTGCATGAGTGAGTCTCTAGTAAGACAGCTAGCTCTTTACCCTATGCTTACGCTAAAGAACTGCAAAGACAGAGACCCTATGAACTCAATTCAACACCCAATAACTGCTCAGCTCTCTACATGAAACACGCCACTCAGGAAACAGCTGATCTCTTAAAGATTAAGTATTCCTCACAAGAGATATCCTACATATGCCTGGCTCGTAATGAGTGCGCAGCTACAGACGTCAGTGTAAACAGAACTAAACACAGTTACAAGTCAATTTGGGGCTTTACGGGTGATGTTCATATTACTTTTTTCCAGTCTGAAAGGATTAAGACGGTTCTCTTTACAATTTCATATTCAAGTGAGACTAGTGTCCTCCTGGTTACAATGATCTTAATCATTGGAGTGAATAAAAGAAAGGGAGGGTGTCCATTTCTATTCCTTATGGCCATAAATTTGAATGACTCAAGTTGTTGAGGTGACTCCATTTCCCGGGGTACTAAAGAACGCAGCATGTGGAAACACCTTTCCTTGCAACTTTCCAGCCCTCAAGTCCAAGTTTTTCATCCTCTAAACCCAAACTATGCCACAGCCATATGTGACCCCAAAGCTTATGTAATCCGGGAGAGGTCCAGCCCTTTATCACTCCTGTGTTCCCCACAATCACCTCCATTCTATTTCTGGCTCATGTAAGGTACTCTGCACACATCAAAATCAACTAATAACAAATCAGTGCAACCCAAGACGCTTTGTGGGAGGGCATCGTCCCCTATTTCTCTACGGATCCCACAAACAGCAAAACATTTCTCCCTGCTTTCGCAGAACGCGCCTTTCTCTGAAAGCCAAGCTCCTAAAACAGTGTCCGGTACCCTTCCAAGGCTGTACTATGTATATAAATTATTTCCAAGTGTCACTGAAGACCATTTTTCTCTGAACACACTAAACTGAAGCTAGCCATAAAACAAGACATTACGCTCCTGCTGAAGAATCTGACATGGGCAAGATTCCGCCCGTATATTACCAGGGGGCAAAAATACAGTTGTAACGAAGCAAAGCTGGGGGGCATAAAGGAAAAGTGGAAGGAGAGATCAATACTATTTCAGCTCCTTAATCCCCAGGTGTGAGGGGAAGGAAGCGTGCGGTCTGGAGTCATCTGGCAGATGCATAAACAACCTCGGAAATTTTCAGAGAAGGCAAAAGTACGCACAGGATCGCAGGGGACCCTGCCACCGGCGAGTTTCAAACACACTTCAAACATCTTTTCTTCCGCGACCTGGATCTTGCATGCACCCCCCTCTCCCCTGCACACCGTTCCCGCCGCTCCCACCTCCCCTTCCCGGTCTCGCCAGGTGACTACGTCTCATGCAGCGAAGGCAACAAGCGTCCCCAGCCGAGGAAGGGAAGGGGCCGCCGTCTCGGCTCGCGAGGGAAGGAAGGCGGAAGCGGGCGCCCGCTCGCGTGCTCGTCGCATCCTACCTCCCGTGGAGCTGGCCTCCTCCAGCTGAGCCGAAATGCTTTCCACCCTCCTCACATTCATGTCTGGGGACGCGGGGTGCAGGAGCGAGGCTCGGGAGTGCACCGGCCAGGGGCGTCTGCAGACGGGTCTGCACGGGAGCGCACCGCCGCTCGGCCCGGGGGCGTCCGTGGCGCTGGGAGCGAGAGCTTCGGCGGCGGCGGGCAGGGCGCGCGGAGCCGGCTGCAGGTGCGGGCGGAGGCCGGCGGGGGGCGCCGGGGGCGCTGCGCGGCTCTCGGCGGCGGGGGCGCGCGGGACGGCGGGGGCGGCCGAGGCGCGGGCTGCTCGGCGCGGGCGGCTGGAAGCGGGCTCGCAGCACGGGCGGCTCGCGTACGGGAACCACCCCCCCCCGCGCCCCTCGCCCGCGTCGGCGCCGCCTCTGCCACCTGCTGCCGAGTCACCGGCCGGGGGTGGGGGCGAGAAGGGGAAAGCGCAGAGGGTGGCGCGGTGCCTCTGGCTACAGAGCAGACGGACCCGAAAGAGCCCTGAGGTGACTTCGGGCTGGGCAGGGCACCCCCGGGAGTTGCCGGCGGCTCTCAGCGGGCGCCTCTGGGACCCCTTCGCACTGCGAGCAGCGCCTGCTCTGGGGAGGGGCTCCGAGGCGCGGCTCCCTCGCCAGGAACGCGCGGCTGGGTCTCCCAGGGGCTCCAACTCCGGCAGCTAGACTGGAAATACTGCTGCGCAAACTTAGGCTGAGTTCGAATGACACCAGAGGGGAAGCGCAAGGAGATGCCCTTCTCCGGAACCGGGCAGAGCGCCATGAACTCCTAGACGGGAAACTTTCCCCTTGGACGCTAGAACCAGCATGCGACTCAGCTGAGTGTGGGGAAATACTGGGTCTAGACTCCGGGTGAGCATCGCAGGGCTGAGGTGAAGAATACTACCTTGGAGAGAGGGGGTGGTGTAGACTGGGGGGCATCCATGTGGGGGGTTCATTTGAGATCTCCCAGGCAGGTCAACCAGGAGGTGTCGCTCACCACCCCCAGGGTCATTTGCCCTCTGAAGCAAAGTGAGGCCGGGAACAGTTGGGAAGGTGAAGAGAATCCAGTAGACCACTTGTGGCCATGGTTACTGTTTGAGAAGTCAGAATTAAAATGCAGACTTCTGTGTCCCCAAGAGTCAAGTGCATGAAGCCTCTCTTTTGAGAAGAAAGGTCAAGTTGACCCGTTCTCCAGGCAAACTGAATTAAAATTTCCTCTCACTCTCAGCTGCAAGGTCAGCTGGCCATGACTTGGGTGGAAGCCATTTCTAAGTGTTTGTGAAACTATTTGCCCTCCCTGTGGCTTTTGGATTATTTATTCACACTGTCAATGAGTGAAATCTTGCGCCTTTCTCTAAGTATGTCTTCACTGACACCTTATTGCCCTTCTCCCCACCTCCAAGCCCACGAGTGATTTATTTAGTCCTTTGAGCCCTTATAGCATGTATTTGTATATTTCTTGTGAGTCTTGTACTCTCAGTTCATTGTTAAAGAGGCAGATGCTGACACCTCTGTTGCCTGGGTTCAAATCCTAGTTCCACTACGTTGTAAATTGTGGCTTGGTACAAATATCAGCTATAACAGGTACCTACATTATTGGTTTGTTGTGAGGATTTAAGAAAATCAATGGATGCAAAGGGCTTAGGGTCGTGGCTGGCACATCGCAATCATTGTGTGAAGATAGGCACCTCTGATTTTTGGAGCTGAGAATAATATTGTATTGACAAAGCAATTAGCAAGGTTCCTTGCACATAGTTGGTCTTCACTGAACATTTTTTTTAATTCGGCAAACATCTGCCAACTACTATGTACAAGGCACAATTATAGGCACTGGGATACCACAGTGAATACAGCAAAGACCCTCAGTTATGGGCTGACTGTCTAGAGGGCAGAGAAACTGACCATAAATCAAGGAATCAGAAGTGATAGGCCAGGAAGATCACTTTATATAGGGGGCCCAGGAAGGCTTTAGGAAAGAGGCAACATTTAAATGGAATCCTGATAACAGTGAGGAGCCAGCCGTGAGCGTCTCAAGGGAAAAAGAACTTCCAAGCAGAGGTAACAGCAAGAACTAACATAAAAACAGCATGCTTGCAGGGCAGCAAGGAGGCTGACAGGCCTGAAGTACATTGAGAGAGGAAAAGAGTAACAGGAGAGAGAGTAGGAGAGGATGGGATCATGTGCAGTGTAAACGTTTACTGAATTTTGTCTGCATACTTTTACAGCCAATGCATTCTTCCCACTTGCCAGTTTCCTCTTAAGTCTTCTCTCTGTCCATTCTGTCAGATTTAATCATTCGATTCTGTCACGTGCCTCTTCCTCCTCTTCTGCAGACTTCTCAAAGCAAACTTCCAGCTTACTGGCCAACTACTTCTTTATTTCTGTAGCTAGCACTCTTTCCAGAAACCACCCACAACTTTTAATCTGTAGATAATCACTAACACTTGCCCAGCTCCAAATTTTATCTTCTATATGATGACTTCCAAAGCTACCTGAGCATGCTGGTTTGGATTCCACAGCCTGGGTTGGAATTCCAGTTCCAACTGTGAACAAGCTGTGTGTTTGAGGACTAGTAACCTCTCTCAGTTTTCTCACTCTAGAACAGGCGTCCCCAAACTTTTTACACAGGGGCCAGTTCACTGTCCCTCAGACCGCTGGAGGGCCGCCACATACTGTGCTCCTCTCACTGACCACCAATGAAAGAGGTGCCCCTTCCTGAAGTGCGGCAGGGGGCCGGATAAATAGCCTCAGGGGGCCACATGCAGCCCGCGGGGGCCGTAGTTTGGGGTGCCTGCTCTAGAATGTAGAAAATAGTAGTGTCAGCCAGGTAAGGTGGCTCACTTCTGTAATCCCAGCACTTTGGGAGGCTGAGGTGGATCACCTGAGGTCAGAAATTCGAGACCAACTGGGCCAACATGGTAAAACCCTGTCTCTACTAAAAATACAAAAATTAGCCAGGTATAGTGGTGTGTGCCTGTAATCCCAGCTACTCAAGGCTGTGGCAGGAGAATCACTTGAACCTGGGAGGCTGAGGTTGCCATGAGCTAAGATCATGTCATTGCACTCCAGCCTGGGTGACAGAGCAATATTCTGTCTAAAAAAAAAAAAAGAAAGAAAATAATAGAATCTACTTCAGTTAACTGTTGGGAAAGATTACATGAGGCAGCATATGTAAAGTGTTTAGGATAGTTCCTGGCACATAGTAAGAGTCAGAGCTACCATTGTGTTAGTTAGCTATCACCATTATCATCATCATCATATTTTGTCATGATGAACTCAATGAAGAAATGACACTACTAGGTTCTACAACAGGTCTAAGCAACCTTCCCTCACAGTGTGGGAAGTATACAACTTTTTCATCTCCAAAATATGCGGAACATTTTGTTGGACCAAACTACCTCTCAAATCTTATCCAATGAATATCTGCCCATTTTGTACCTTTTAAATGTATATCCTTTGACTAGTTATAAAGAAGACAACAAATTCATGGAAAATAGACACTGTGCTGAAGAAGTTTGTAATATATTGTTTCCAAAAAATTTGTATGGGATATTAGCTACTGTAAAATCCAAGTCCAGACCTCTTTACTTGGATTCTTAGTCATTGCCAAACATCACAGGATAATTATCTTTTTACTGCCACATTTACCATCATTTTTGATATTTGGGACTGAAAGTCCAGAATGACTCTGTCTTGCTTTACCATTTCCTTATTGGCTCTTTAAATACTTCAAATAGTTATAGAGAAGAACTTCATAGGCCACAGCATGCTGTGCCAGCTTCTTATTACCCCTCCGAAGCTGTAGCAATCCTAGCCCCTCTTCCCAACCCCAAGACACATGCACAAAGATTTCCACCTTCTCTGACTAACCCTAGATTACTCTCTGTATAGCAAGGATGTGTATTTTTCCCTTAAGGAACCATATTAAAAATTGGGTGCAGAAATAAGAAACTCACCATGTGCCAGCTATGAATCTCAGACTTTATGAATATTACTTCATTTAATTTTTTCAAAGCACTGGGAGATAAGCACTGTTATCCCTATTTAACTAGGGAAGAAATTAAGGCTCCAAGAAGTAAACTGGTTTGCCAGTTTTATAATAGTAATCAGTATCAGTTTGACTCAAGAATTCCCAAATTTGATTACTACACTGTATTGTCACCCTGGACTAGAATTGTGCTGCTCTAGACTCCGACATTTCCTAGTTCTATGTCCTCCAGAAAGTCACTGATCAATCCTAAGCTTCAGTTCCTAATCTGTAGAAAGGGGAATCTCCCTTCACAAGGTCATTGTCAGGATTAAGTCAGGAAATGAAAGTGAAAGCTATACATGAACTAGGGAATGTTGCAGAAGCATCTATGACTACTGTTATTAGTTCCTGATTTTTTTATTGCCTATTACCATTATTGCTTGGTCTTTTCTGAAAGCGCCTGACATTTTGGCACAATTCTTCCTGGCTCATCAGAACTTAGGCAGTAACAGTAAAACTTCTAATATTTCATAATGCCTGAACACTCACACTATGCACCTATGCACTGTGTTAAAAACTCTATGTCATTGTATGACTTAGGACTAAGAAAAATCATCATATATACTTATTTTTACCCTGATTTTAAAATGAGTCTGAGATTCAGAGAGGTTAAGTAGCCCAAGGACAGCCAGCTGTGAAGAGGTGCAGCTGAGATTTGAACTCACATTCATCTGATTAAAACACTAGAGCTTTCAATTGCTTCTTGACGGTTCTCAGACTTCAACATACATAAGAATCACCTGAACAGTTAGATTAAAAACTGCTCCAGCCTGTGAATGGATTCACTGAGTTTGGTGGGGAGGTCTTAGAATATAATTTATTTTTTAAATAATAGACTTTTAGAGCAGCTTTTGGTTTTCAAAAAAATGAGCATACAGAGTTCTCATGTCCCTCTCTCCAGTAACCCCCTCCCCCAGTTTTCCCCATTATTAACATCTGCTATTAGTGTGGTATATTTTTACAACCGAGCCAATGATACATTGTTTTTAACTAAAGTCCATAGTTTAGATAGGAGGCCTAATCTTAGAGGAAGAGGTGGTCCTAGAGGGAGAGGGAAAAAGAGATATCACTCAGAAGAAAGGCCATGTGAGGACACAGCAGCTGTCTACAAGCCAGGAAGAGAGCCCTCCGTGTAAGTAGAATGCTACTGACACCTTGACCTTGGACTTCCAGCC